CATAAATCAATAAACATAATACATTACCTAAACAAAAGGAAAGACAAAAATCACATGACCACATCAATAGATGCTCAAAACCATTTGATAAAGTACAGCACCCATTTATGATAAAAACACTCATCAAAGTGGGAGTAGAGGGAGCATACCTCAACCTAATGAAGGCCATATATGAGAAAACTACAGCCAACATCATACTCAATGGGCAAAAACTAAAAGCTTTCCCCCTAAGATCAGGAATAAGACAAGGGTGTCTGTGTTACCACTTCTATTCAACATAGTATTGGAAGTTCTAGTCACAGTGGTCACACAAGAAAAAGAAATAAAGGCATCCAAATTGGGAAGGAGGAAGTAAAACTGTCATTGTTTGCAGATGACATGATAGTGTACATAGAAAGCTCTATAGTCTCCACTAAAAATATTTGACCTAATAAGTGAATTTTTCAATATTCAGAAATCAAAGCCATTTTTGTATGCCAACAACCAAATATCAGAAACAGAAATTAGTAAAAAAAATCCCATTTACTATAGCAATAAGAAAAATAAAGTAGCTAGGGATAAACATAACCAAGGAGGTAAAAGACCCGTGCTTGGAAAACACTAAAGAAATAAATTAAGGAAGACAGAAACAAATGGGAACATATACCATGTTCATGGATTGGAAGAATTAGCATCATCAAAATGTCCATACTACCCAAAGCAACTTATAGATTCAATGCAATACCTATTAAAATACCAATGACATTTCACAGCTATAGAAAAAATATTTCAAAAATTTATATGGAACCATAAAGAACCCCAAATAGCCTCAGCAATTCTGAGAATGAAGAACAAAGTAGGAAGAATAACAATATCTGATATCACACTATATTTCAAGGCCAGTATAATCAAAACAGTCTGGTATTGGCATAAGAACAGACACATAGACCAATGGAACAGAACAGAGAGCCCAGAAATAAACCTGTGTCTCTATGGTCAATTAATATTTGACAAAGCAGGCAAGAATATAAAATGGAGTAAAAGTAGCCTCTTCAACAAATGCTGTTGGGAGATCTGGACAAGTACATGCAAAAAAAAAAAAAAATGAAACTCAACCACAAACTTACACCATACACAAAAATAAACTCAAGATAGATAAAAGACTAGATATAAGTTGGGACACCATAGAAGTCATAGAAGAGAACATAAGCAGGAAAACTTCATATTCCACCCAGCAATATTTTCACTGATATGTCCCCCAGAGCAAGGAATATAAAAAAGAATAAACAAATGGGACTACATCAAAATAAAAAGCTTCTGCATGGCTAAGAAAATCATCAAAATGAAAAGGGAACCAACTGTAGGGGAAAATATATTTGCCAATTATACCTCAGACAAGGGTTTGATCTCCAAAATATATAAAGAACTCACATGGCTCCATCCCGGAAAGACAAACAATCTAATTAAAAAATGGGCAAAGGACCTAAACAGACATTTCTCCAAAGAGGACATACAGAAGGCCCAGAGACACATGAAAGGATGCTCAACACCACTAGCCATGAGAGAAATTTGAATTAAAACCACAATGAGATACCACTTCACACCAGTCAGAATGGCCATCATAAACAAATCAACAAACAACAAGTACTGTTTGAAATTGTGGAGGAAAGGGAACCCTAGTGCACTGTTGGTGGGAATGCAGACTGGTGCAGCCACTGTGGAAAGCAGAATGGAATTTCCTCAAAAAACTAAAAATAGAACTTCCTTTTGATTCAGCAATTCCATTGCTGGGATTATACCGTAAGAATCCTGAATCACCAATTCAAAAGAACCTATGCACCCCAATGTTTATAGCAGCACAATTTATAACAGCCAAGTGCTGGAAATAGACTAAGTGCCCATCAGTAAGTGAATGGATTGAAAAAACTGTGGTACATTTACACAATGGAATATATATATATTTTTTGCCAAGTTAACATTTTCTTTTTTTTTGACAAGAGTTTCAAGTTTATTAATTGGGAAAAACATTCTTTTTTATGTTCTTTTTTATTATTATTTTTTTAATCATTGTTCAAATACAGTTTTCTCCTTTACACAATGGAATATTACACAGCAGGAAAAAAGAACTCCTGCCCTTCGTGGCAACATGGATGGAACTGGAGAGCACTATGCTAATGAAGTAAGTCAGGTGGTAAAAGACAACTACCATATGATCTCACCTATAATTGGAACCTAATCAACAAAACAAACAAGTGAGCAAAATAGAACCAGAGACATGGAAATAGAGAACAAAGAGACAGTGACCAGAGGAGAAGGAGGCAGGGGATAATGGGGGAAAGAAGGGAAGGGTTGTCAAGAGACATGTATAAAGGACCCATGCACAAAGACAATGAAAGGGAATTGAATGTGGGAGGGGGGTTTGGCAGTGCAGGGGAGAGTGATGGGGCGGGAAGGGACAACTGTAATAGAACAACAATAAAATAATTTTAAAATTCACACAAAGCAAGATAATGGAAATAACAAATTGCTTTTTACCAATGTAGTGTGGGAAAACATGGAAAATTAAAAAAATATTAGCTGACATTCATGCCATTCACTTGGCTTTGAGATTCCACAGAAACACTTGGTCCATGTCCATACTCTGCAAGGGCCTTTGGTGACCCAACCTCCTCTCATGCCTGCGGCTCCAGGTGTTATATAAAAGGCTTTTTCAATTACCTTTTGGCAAGCTCAGGAAATTTCTCCAGATCTTTAATTTTAATTCTTGTCTGGTTTTCTTTTTCACTGTTTTGTGTCCCAGCTCTCTCAGATTGCTGCTGGGCAGTCTGGTTGCTCTCCCCAAGACGTCTCTCTTCCCCAGCTCCAGGCTCTGTCTCCCACACTCAGCCCATGCCCATCTCAGGTTCTGCAAAGGTAATGAACAGCTAGAGGCAGACACTCTCATCTCCTGCCTCTTTTCTTCCCATCAGATTTATGTAGACACTAATAATTCATGTTCATCTTTTTGGCATGATCTTGAGTTGAAAGTATTTGGCACCAGGTCCTGGGTTGCAGTGGATAATCCATGAAGGTCACATGGTGTGGTAAAAGGTGCACTGGCTCAATAAATATTAATTCATTTCTTAATCGGCTTGTAGATGAATGAGAAATAGTCATACTGAGAATTTATGTAATGTCTTCTTCCAAGGAGTATACAAGGACACAATAGTATCTCATTGAGAATATTTATTATATTAGTAACAAATAATCTGTAACCTGATTTGAGGATGACTGATTGCTTATCATGAGTCCTACACCTGGCTGCACATCAGAATCCCTTCAGGAGCTTTTTACAAATACAGATTTTGTGTGGCATTTGGGAAAAATTGATTTATATTTCTTTACCTCTACGAAATTTTTCAATAATGATGGCTGCCCTAGACCAGTGCCACTCAAACTTTAATACACATATAATTCATCCTGGGAATCTTTTTAAAATGCAGATTCTGATTTAGTAGATCTAGGGTGGTGCATGAGATGCTACATTCTGACAAGCTTCTGGCTGATGCTGAGTCTGTCCATCCAGAGACACACTTGCAATAGAAAGGTCTTAAACCTGAGAAGAGAGAGGAGAGGGCAGGGGAGGAAGGTTGAATGGTTGGGAAGCCAGAGCTCTACACTCACACCAATTCAATCAAAGGCTCTGGGGGCTGTATTCCAGACACTGGTATTTTCAAAGCATTTTCCTAAGTGATTCAACTATGCAGTTGCAATTGAGAGGCACTGTTTAAGATATGCCTTGACCACATCTAATGTCCATTTCCTTGTAGTGAGGGCAGGTGAACCTGGGCACATTTCTGTTACACTAAAAAACCAACAGTTCTGCTGCTTACAGCAGAATTTCTCAAAGCATGTCCTTGGATGACTTGCATCAGATTCACTTGGGTACTTGTTATTAATACACGTTCCCAGACTTGCCCCCAGGTAGACTGAATTAGGATCTTTGCAGCCTCATCACAGGAATCTGATTAGAAACAATTTCTCCAGGTGCTTTGCGTGCTCAAGGAAGTTTCAGAAATAATAACTTATAGAGATAAAATCAAATCTTTTTAGCCATGTAGCCAGGGGTCTCTCAATAAATTGGTTTCTACCAGAATTTTTAAGTCCTCTTTTTTCTTGATTTATTGCGTTAATTTCCTGTACTAGCACCTTCTAAGGTAGCCCCTACTTCTACTGAGTAGAATATGGCAGAAGTAACCCGATTTCACTCCAAGATTAGGTTAAAAAAAGACTGTGCAAAAAGACTGTGCCTTCTATCTTGGACATCCTCTATCCTTTGAAGTCCTTGCTCTAGGGAAGCAAGCTGCCATGTTATGGGGTCCTGTGGGGATGCCTGTGTGAGGGCTCAAGACCTGACAGCCACGTGAGTGAGCGTGGAAGTGGATTCTCTCCCAGCCAATGCCAGTCAGTGTGTCAGATGACTGCAGCTCCAGCCGCCATCCTGACTGCACCCGGATGAGACACCCTGAGCCAGGGGACCCAGCCAAGACACCCCTGGACTCCTGACCCATGGAAACTGTGAAATAATAAATATTTTGAGCCTCTAAATTTTGTGGTAATTTGTTATGTAATAATAGGTAACTAGTACATCCACCTTAAAATACCCTTCCTCCTCCTTCCTACTTATCCAACTCCACCTCTTTCAAGACTTAGCTGTTCTAAGAAACTTTGCTTACAGTGACTGTCCTTTATTGAACTCCTAGAGCATATGAAATAAGTAGTACTCATTGTTAGATAGTATGTGCTTTTTTGTATTCATTTGTAATATTTAATTGTAATTTCTAATGTCTGCTTTAAAATAAATTCTAAACACATTAATGAGAATTGAACTTAGATTGAAAGTTGACTTAGAGCAATTTCTATTCCCATGAACTATCCCGGTATTATCAATACAGTACGTGCCACATTGGAGCCACCAGGAGGAGAACACTCCCTTGATGATTATTATGGGGTTGCATTGTTACAGCCGCCTGCCTATCAGTCTGCCCGGGTGAGGGGGGGAGCGGGGTTCCTCCCCCTGGGGGCTTGCTTAGCTCCCTGTAGTGTCAGACACTTTTGGCCTGCCTGTTTCAACTTGGGGCTGGGGGACCTATATTTCTGATTCAGTTGATTCATGACCAACTCATAAATGCCACATTGCCATAAGTATTTGTCTCCGAGATCTCTCTCAGCCAACCCCCTAGGTACCCAGGGTTCCTCTGTAGCTAGGGGAGGATATAAAGCATTCAGTACTTGAAATGGTTATAGGAACATTTCAGAAAATGACTCTATTCATCTTTCTTCACAGAGTAAGAGTTAAAGTTATCTCTAATGGCTTTGGAAATTTTGATTAGGATGGTAATGGAAACCGTCCTTGCTTTATCTAGTTTATGCACATGAACGCTTTCTCAATAAAGACTCGGGAATGAGCTACAGCACTGACGATAGTGGAAATTCTGTTCGCCTCAGCCGCCTCCGCAGCGATCGGGCCTTCTCAGTCCCGAAGGTTGTTTTTTCAACCTTTCCTCAGGGGTCTGGAGAGACAGGTGCAGATCTCCTTGGTCTTTCCACCTAAGCCCTAACAGCATTTTCTGCCCGCCTAGGCCAATAAAGAAGCCTCCTTTCAACCAACTGCAAAGATAAGGCCCTTAACCCCAACTCAGCTCTTGTCTCTCTTATCAGATGTTACTGTGGAGGTTATCAGGTGGTCTCATCTAAGGTGTGGTGCACATTCTAGCCAAAGAGGGCCTCTAATCGCATCTGCCACCTCGGTCTGACCCCGGGCATCCTGAGGTGGTGAGAAGCAGAGGAGCAGCACTGTGGGTATCGGACCCACAGTAGTAAGTCCCAATGTCTTTTGTTGTTGCCTTTTGAATGTCAAGTATATACTGACTTTTTAAAGGGTCGACTTTCCCTTTGATATTACTCTTCAAATGGTCAGTAGAATTGTTGCTTAGTCTATATACTAAAGTCAGGGAGTTATCTTCATCCTTCTTATACCAGCTCATTTGATAATTTTTTAAGTCCGCTCCTGTTACATTGCAGCGGAAGGTGGCAGGCTCCCCAATTAGAACAGTCAGAATTTTGGTGTCTGCTTCCAAAATTATGTCCAGCGAGACCTCTGAAAGGGAAAACCCAAGGTCAGAGAGGCTGTGAAGGACTCCCTCCACCCCCATGGGCTGATGTGTCACAGCCGAGCCCCACAGCGGCTTGTTTCCCTGTGAGCCCCCGCCGCCCCAGCAAATTGTCCCCGCCGCACCTTTCTCTGAGAGTGAAAGGTCCAGAGACTTGTTCTTACCTGTGCAGAAGATGGTGAGGTAGAAGAGGGGACAGGTCCACCACATGGCTGCACGGGGGGGTGACTAAGGTGTGCTGGTGCTCCCTGGCTGCCCCTGCCCCGATCAGCTGCTGCCTGCCCGTGAGAAGCTTTGTCCGTTGTGAAGGTGGTTGGGCGTTAGCCACTTCCTCAGCGAGAGATGTGAAAGGGCTGCAAGGCCACAGTTACACTGTTTGTTCAATAAACATGGGCCAACTACCTATTGCAGATCAGATATTATTTGGGAGACATAAAGGTGAACAGAACATGGCTTCTGCCTTCAAAGAACTGAGTTTTGGGGGCAGACAGGCATAGAGGAGTTACAGAGGAGTGTGCCGCACTGAAAGAGGGAGGCACAAGGTGCTTCAGGAGCCTGGGGGAGTGAGCTGCTTCTGCCTGCCATGCTCAGAAGATGTGGCTCTGAACTGAGCTGTGAGGGCTGAGCAGGGCTTTGCCTGAAGGGTGTTCCCAGGAGGCACAGTGGCTGGAGTAAAAGCTCAGGGCCTTTAGAGGCAAGCTGTCCTGCAAACGATGGTCATTCTGCTTTCACACAGCTCTTGTGCTGGTCCCTTCCCCTCTGGCCTCTGCCATCCCTGTCTCAGTCTGAGAACATTCTTTACCTGTTGCCAGCCATGGCTATACTATTCCAAGAAGTCTGTTTTCAGACTCTCCCCCTTTTCATCCATTCTCCAAGCAGCCATCACACTGATTTTCTTCAGACGTTAGCGGGTCAGGTCACACATCTGCGGGAACTCCTTTTCTAGCTCCCCTCGGCCTTCAGGGGAGTGTGGAACTCCTGTGTCATGACCATATGATCTCCTGACCTGCTTCCTTCTCCAGTCTCACTTTTGCCCTTTTCTCCACTTGCATGGAGTCAGCTATGCAAAAATACTTGCCGGTTTGAAGATTTGTTACAGTCCTTATATACTCAGCTTTTGTATTGGCTGCTCCTTCTTCCTGGGAAAACTATACCTTCCCTCTCCTACCTTCTCCACCCCTTCATGACAGAGGAGACCCCCTGGGCTCCCTGAATTTGTTGGGTTGTGGCACTTACCACCTCTCCTATAATTATATGATAATTTATTTATTTTCTTCACTGGACTGTAAGATTCTTTAAAACAGTGGCTGTGTCTTATTTATATTTGTGTTCTCAGTGACCAGCCCAGAGCTTGTCAATATTAAGAACTTGGCAGATATCTGCTAGTGTAAGCAGGATTTCTGTCTGTCGCCTCTTAACCCGAAGAGTCATGTGGATTGCTCCTCTAATTAAAGATGGGATTAGAAAGGTATTTGCCAGCAAGCTAGGCCAAAACCTGGGGAAGCCAGGTCTCCTGCCCATTGTTGTAGGTGTAGTGACAGGCGGGACCCTCTGCAGCAACAGGATAGCTCCTACTTGTCTAGAATCTGCTTGCAATTGCTTGTGGTTAATATTCTGATATCACCCATTGGTATGTAGGTGGTGTCACTACCCACATCATCTACATGCAAAAGGAGCACTGGCTTTGTAGGTATAATAACCCTGGGTTTTGAATCTTGCTTTGCAACTTACCAGTAGCTGGGCAAGTTGTATCTCTGAGTCTTGATTTCCTCATCTACAAATAAGGTAACTGTAGTTACCTTGCAGGGATGTTGTAAGGTTGAAATAGAAGAACACGTATGAAGCACTTATTCCTGTGCCTGGCACACACATTCGCAGGCCCACTGCAGATTGCAGGTCTTTGCCTCATTTCTTCTGCTTTGCCATGGTTGGGTTAGTGCCCTACTCAAAGCTCCTGACACAAGCAATGGTCACCAAGGAGAAACAGAGCTTATAATTTAACCCAGGCACAGACCAATCCTCTGTGGGAAGGGGGTGTTGTCTGAGCTATGTTAGGCTGTTGGTAGAACTTTGGGCAAGTCAATGGATGAGCCAGATGGGGCTGTGTTAGAGGGTAGTGTCAGAACCTTCTATTCCCTTAGGCAAAGGACACTCTCTGGCAGTTAAGGATGGAGGCCACATATGAGTCCCAGTTTTCTTTGTCCATCTGGGATGAAGAAAGAATAGGAGGATTTGAAGAAGCAGAAAGACCCCAGGATCAGATTAAATAAACCCATACTGGCTACTACTTATAATACTTGACCAAGCCCAGTGCCATTCTCTCTAAAGGTCTCTGCCACCCTTGGTCTTTGGCATCGAACAAGATCACTCGAGTAGCAGTGGGAGAGAATGCCAGAACTTCGAATTTTCTCTCTAGTTAAAAGTTTCAGGACCTGCTTTGCCTTTGATTTGAGAACACATCTACTTTCTCCCTACCTCCTTTGAGTTCTTTGGGTAAAAAAGATAAATTTAATGAAAGTCCCTTCTGTGCTTTATCTCCTACTCATTACCCTGAAACTTCACATGTAAAGCTTAAGCAACAGTGCAGCCAGACTCCAATGCGAGCCCATGGGTTAGCTCTGTGAGGCCTGGCCATTATCAGATGTTTGCCCTGTTTCTAGTTGCTGTCTTAGCTCTCTGGTTTCTCTGCTCTGGCACCAGCTGGCTGGACAATCAACTGGAATGGCAGTGAATGAAAAAAGGAAAAGCTGTGTTTCTATTTCTCTTGGTCAGGACCTCAGCTGCCTGGTGTCCCAGGATGGCCTTCAGTAAGTAAGAGCTTCTTCTCAGTCTGATTGATTTGGCTGGGATTACTTGAATTAGTTTGTTTCTCTGATTTGTTTTTACTGCAATGTTGGGCCCACTAGTTATTTTAAAGCAAGCATAAGATATTTTTGGAAATTAGTGAGGAATTTCAATGGGTGTCAAGAAGAATCACAGTATCATTTGTCTCTAAAAAAACCTGTGGTTGCCAGTATTCCATCTGTGACTCCCTTTGCCAGCTGTGTGGCACTGAATGAAGCAGCTGCCAAGCAAAACAGTGGAGAGGCAAGTTGGGACTTTTTTGAGTTATAATTCTGCTTCTGTTACTGACTTGGGACTTGGGATGTACATAAATAAACTTTTCCATGTTTAGTCTCAGCTCAGTTCCTTTCAGATATTTTTCTCACTCCCATCATCCAACTCATCCTGAAATCTGAAGGCCCTAATTCCAATTGGTACTCTCCTCCTGAAACACTCCCAAAATTATGACAACCAAGTACTTATCTTGCTCCCACATGTGTCTGATTTGGTCCCTCTATTAGCCTGTAAGCCCCACTACAGTGTGGAGTCTAGAATGGCAGAAAGCTGGTATCACTTACCTTGGTATCCTTGGCTTTTGGCATGGTGTCTGGAGCCTAGTGGACATCCAATACATATTGTTGAGTTAAAAATAAACCATGCCTACTCTCTGCTCTGAGACTATGGATACTTGATGTGCAGTTGTTACATAACTTAACCTTCCTGCGTAGCTTTTCTTCTATGACTGTTCTTCAAGGATCCCATGGGAAGACTGGAGGGCTTACAGTTAGAAGATGAGGTGGTCGAGACAGATACTCACAACTGGGCCATCAACTCCACCAGTTTTCATTTTTGTTCCTGTTGATCGCTGCCAGGAAACCTGCCCTTGGGCAGGTCTCTTCAATCAACACATAGTTCTCTGATGACTTTGTTCTTCTTCCAAACTTTCCTTTACATCCAACATTAATGGATTTTGAAAAGGAAGACAGATCATTCCTCTCACTGAGACACTTAGCGTGGTGAAACCAGAGACCTGGGTGACAGGCAATCACATAGACTCTCCTCTTCTGTTGCTTGTGACATGGCATTGGTCTTTCAACTGGGGCTCTGGGGAGGAATTACTGAATAACTTCTAACTGGCAGAGGATGCAGCTGGGTTACTGGGGTAGTAAGTGACCTTTAGGAAACCTGATTCTCCCATTGTCACTTTCAGCAGCTCTGGGGACCTATCCTGCCAATAACCTCGAGGGGCCCTGAGGAAGAGCAAGCCGGGAGTAAAGTGACTCACTCACTCACCAAACACTCTCTGGATCTGTGCCTCTCCCAGGATGGGTAAGACTTTGAAATCTGATCCCCAAAGCCAAATTTTGCAAAGGGTCTTTCTCTACTTCTTTATCCCAAGAAAAGCCTGTTTTGTGTGTTTCTGTGCCCTTAAAGGGCTGCCTGCCCTAGGGAGCATCAGTGCTGATGAGCCCATGTGTTGGCTGCAAATGAGAAAGGCAGAAAAACAGCAGGGGACCAGGATTTTCACTGATGAATAAATGCAGGATCTGAAGCAGCAAGAGGCCATGTATCTTCAGAAGAGAAAATAGAGAAGAAAGTCCTGCTTACTCCAGTTCTCAGCTTGGCAGTTCGCATGAGGGAATTTCCATGGGTGGTTCCATGAATAGTCAGAGGCCCATGTGGACATGTCTTTGTAGAGCTTATGCACTTCTGAAATCTGCAATGATCTTCCTTGGACAGTTTTTGAGGGCACCACAAGGTCAAGTGTATTTTGATTTAACTTGTAATGCTCTTGGATGTGGGAACTTTTTCAGGTCATGTAGTATCCCTGTTAGGTTGACAGAACTAGCTCCTTATCTATAACTATGTATAAACAACTTCAAGTTTATTTCTGGCTCTACACTTTTAAATTATTCCACTATCCATTTAATGAGTGGGGCTACTATTGTATTTTAATACATCATAAGTCTATATTTGTTTGTTTTATGAGGGTCAAATAGAAATGAACTTCCCTCTGGATCTATTATTTTTTTGCATAGGAAGCCCTTAATAAGCTATCAGCATTCAGTGTCAAGGATCCTGAAATTCTTTTGAATTGCATTTCTCCAAATTTACATTGATATTTAATTCCTACTGGATGGGATACTAATGTATAAAAGAATGTTTAATTGTCCAAGAGATTAACTTATTTGTTGTCAATAGGTTCCTAAAGTCCTAACCCAGGAAAACAGTGAGGATGTGGATATGTAACAGTAATCATCATTATGATCTCACCGCCATCAACAAAAGCAGCTAGTACTTACCAAGTGCTTCCTAGGTGCCAGCCATTGCTCTACGTGCATTACCTACAACAGTCCATTAATTCTTACAGAAATCCTTTGTGGTAGGTATTATTCTTATCATTTTATGGATTAAGGAGGCAAGGCATAAAGTAACTTGCTCAAGATCACATAGGTAGTGAGTTT